CATAAAAGTAAAGTGACCTACTTAGCATAATCAAAATCTATATGAAACCATTTTAAAGAGAACCTTCATTTGTTTAGTGGCCACGGTTCCTCAATGAGTTGGAAAAAAATGAAATGAATGTAGTTTTACGTCCTACTCTTCTGCACCTCGTGGGCTAATGAAGACGGGCAACGCCGTGCAGGGTGCACAGCGGCATTAGACTGCTCTTTTTCGATTTCCAATTGTCGAGGGATCTTTAACGTGCACAGCCAGTAGCACACGGGGCCCCGGTTTATTGTCCCATCCGAACGACTAGACGCTCTTCCCATGTCAGCCCCTCTTACCTGCATCAAAGACTGGGTTGAAAAATCCGAATGTATTATCTCGACCTATGCCGGGATTGTACCTCAAGTGGACCTTCAGGTTAGCGAGCAAGCGTCCAACTCACTGAGCCACCGCGGCCCACCTCTTGATAGAGGCTTGATAGTTTTCTCCAAGTCGAGATGATGGGCAAGGAGTGAAAAGTAAGTTATGTCACCACATTTCACCAACACAAAAAGATTTAGCAAGGCAGGAAGTAAAAAACTCATGTTTCATTTACATTTTTTTTTTCATTTCTTTATCTATCCTATTAGGCTGTTTGGAACCTTATTAAGCTCATATTGTACCATTTGTACCACCTTGATATTGTTTGGAACATTATCAAGACACAGCCATTGCTCAGTCTTTTCAGTTTTTTGTTAGCTTTTATTTTACTAAGGTACTCTAGTTAGTGTCTTAAGACTCAGCACATGTGCCCTTATATCAACAACCTTTGACCTAATCTCACGACCCTTGCTTTAACCAATCTAATTGCACCGGGCTTATTTAAAACAACTAATTAAAAAGCGTGATTCTTCATCGTTCAGTTTTAGTGGAAAGGAAAAACTAGCATAATGTTCCGAAATCTACCTATAGCTCAGTCGGTAGCCAGTTGGATTGTCGTCTGTTGGGCGATCAGGTGCCATGGATTCGAATCCTCCCTAAGGTAAGAAAAATTCTGATGCCCTGTGTCAGTGCTTTTGAAAGTAGGCCCGATGTCGGCTCTCACCCCCTAATACATAACTTTTGTTCGAGTAACATTATCCAAGCATTTGAGAGGGAAAAAATTTGATTGACTGACAGTGTCCTCAAACATCAATGTTTATAGCGGAGTCGTTCGTTCCTACCCTTTTTTCCAACAGTTAACAGATAATCTAACCACACAAAACCAAACCAACGACTACCAGTCAAAAAGAATTGCCATGATCATAACGAGTGTGGAAAAATGAAGAATGCTGAGAAACTCACGCCACCCACACCACCCAGGGCCAAGTTTCACCGCCATGTCATTTGACCCGACCAGATCTTTCGAATTATCAACTGCAAATCAACAGCAAAGAGACATCCACATTGAACCAATCCAACAACCATCCGCGATATTAGCGTGTAGCGACGTCAGATATCGTACGGTGGGCGCTATTGTCACGATTCATCGCCATCGAGATCGCCAAGGAATGGAGAATCGACTTAGACACGCGTCGTAACATCTCCATAAAGGCAATAAAAAGTGGACCAAGCCCATTAGGATCGTGCCATGGGAATGTAGTTTCAGTGCGACTGTTATAGAAATTGTAATTTTATGGGTCTTTTTCTTGCATTTTCTTCGCATTTCCCTTCGACCCAGTGTGACTGGTATATGACGAGACCTTCTTGAACTGATGAGGATGACCAGGTGTCAAAGGAATCAGTATCCTTGAAAATCTTGACATTTGTCCATTTATATTTATTGAAGCCTTGGGTAAGACAGTCTTAAAGCACCGATGGCGATCTATAGTGACTAGTTTACTTGATTAATGATATATACTAATGAATCTGGTCCCGTTTTACAAACAAATCCTGGTAATTAATTCAAAATCTCACAGGTTAATTAGTTCACCGGGCTGTTACAAAAGACACATGTTTTTCTTTCAGAGTTGCCACTCAAAGGTATGGTTATATTGTAGTCACGAGTTGATAATTTCGATCGTATTTCTGTTCAGTATGTTACTTTTTGGGCACATAAATACAATACATAAACACCAAACGTCACCTAATATATATAGGCCTAGATATTTTAGTTTAATATTACGAAAGAATAAAATATACCGCTCGTGTTTGTGTTACAAAACGGATCCGAACTCTCGACTTTTCAAGAAAATGTCGTCAACGATAGATTACATTTAACAATAGCTGTCTTTCTCTCATCATTAATAATTTAATTATGTTTGAGAATAAATCTTAACTTACCTAAGCAGGTTTGCTTAGTAAAAGGTGTAAGTGACACAGTGCATTTAGTCCTCTCAAGGATATTCTTCGGGGTTATTAAGATATTAATGTATTTTGTCCAGAGCACCAGCATATGCTATAACTTTTGCAACAAGGTAAATAGGTCACAGCGAATTGCCAACAAGATAAATAGGTCACAGTGAATTGAAAGATGACAAAATTACTGCATCGAATTTTACCTCGTTCCGAATGCACTTAATTCCATAATACTGTGACCAATTTACATCGTGATCAAATTACTGTTTCCAATTAACATCGTGATCAAATCCCTGTCAGCAATTCAGTTTGCTCTGTTATACTGAGATCTTGTGACCTAACCTTATGGCCATTTTACTTGAACACATTCCTTATAACAGAATTGTTTGTGACAAATTTACCATGTGGTCAAATCACTATAACCAATTTAGCTTGCGACCGTATTACCATATTCTTATGACAATATTGTGGAATAGTACCTTCATCAAATTCCCCTGTGGCAAAATTTTCTGTGAATATTTTACCATGTGGCCGTGTCACTATGAAATTTTCTGTCACTATCTTACCGACGGCCCGCGGATATTTGGCCTATTACCTAAACAGTTTCTTTGGGTGGTGTTGTTATCTGAAGAGGACATTTTTCATGGTTAGGTTCTCGCTGTGATAATAACCGCTAAATAGAATCAATAAACATAATTTATTCTAACATTTTCTAAAACATCTCTAAAAACAATAACAAAACTTAAATACTATTATAATACTCCTAAAACAGAGACTTAAAGCGTACAGAGCACATGAAATATATTTCTAAAAAATGGAGAACAGATTCCATGAAACGCCAAGTCTTCGTCTTCAAAATATAAATCGCGAACATGTTGATTCAGACAACCGCGTCTCTTTTCAGATATACTGATGTTTATATCGTTAAAAATTCTTCCATCAGAAATGACGGTATTCAAAGTCTTCAGGGCGTAGACCACAGATATATTAAGTTATTTGTGATATAGATAGCCGAATGAGAAAATAATAAGAATGGTTTGGGAAATTCATTTCAGTCTCAAGAAAATTGGAAACAAATTTGGCGAGAAAACTAGAAAGTCCTAATATAGAGAAGTGCACAATGAGCTGGGTTCTATTTGGTTATCAGTGTTGTGTAGATAGATAAATAATTAAACCCATATACTCTAGGCTAAATAATTCACATAATATTACATGGCAAAACAGCGTGTGCATCTCCATTAAGAAATTCTGTTAAAATCTAATTAAATTGATAAAAGTAAAATATACGGAATCGTTAACAGTTTGGCTGGTTTAACTGCATCAATATCATGGGTTCAATAACCGACAAGACGTTCACGCCGTTGCATGAAAGGAGATAACAGTAAAATTGGAATTCAATAGATAGTATTATGTCAACACTATACATCCTACACGATTTCATGGTTACAACCAATTATAGCAGATATGAAATAATAAGCCTACCCAGTGTTATTATTGTTCACTAATATGGATATTGTAAAACAAATAGTTGTAAAACCACGATAATCCCATGCAAAGTTAAAGTGTTCTAGATGAGAGTGGTCTGTACGGCTTAACTGGAACACCAAATATTCTCACCATATACCCGGGATTTACTCGCTATATTCATGTCATATATTAAAGACGATTCAAATCATAATCCCTACAAATCAAATGATCTGTTTTGTGTTAAATAAAAATTAATTAAAGGACTGCATTTTGGTAGTATATGGGTTCTCGAATTTTGTCCTTGGATTTTACAATCAATTATGACCTCCTTATTGGGACAAAGTTCTAGTAAGTTTTATTGAACAAGAATCACGGAAAACAAAATGAAGAATACATCTGACGCGAATTTGGAAGTGTTGGTAGAATATTTTTTATGGTCCGAAAGAGGGTGGGGGGGGGGGGGATTGGCCAAAAAAAGCACTACCTAAATACGCAGCTGAAAATATGTTCATCGTCTAGGGATCTATATTATATCATCGTATAACTTTCAATATATTGATTAAATGAGTTATCTTAATAAAAATAAATGATTAATATCTGTTTTACCTTGAAGACAGTGTTAACGATTTACTCTATATCATTATTCATTGTTTTGTTTAAGCTAGAAAGCATCAATTATGAGGGCTGTTTTTTTGTAATTGTTGTAAAACTATTTACAGTTATATAAAAACAATGCTTATTTAAAATCTATAAGGGATAGTATTTACATGTAGTATCCCTTTTTTTTTTAGATATGTTTGAAACAAATTTTACTGTTATTTGACCTTTTGATAACTAATGGTGAGGGCACACGAACCGTCTTGGTGTGCCCGTGCTTCCACTGAAAGATGATAGCGTTGCCGACATTTATAATATCCAAAGGAGTTGATATTTGTCGTCTATTATCTTATCGTCTGCATGACAGAACGTCATCATCAAATCAGATTCATTTTCCTTTCAATTGCGTATTCCGCACGTGATTACCGACATAATGGAAAACGACTGACTAGAGATTTTGGTCGGTGAAACTATTGAAAAGTCTAATGATGGCGACAGAAATCGCCGACCAAGACAGTTTATGAGCCGGCGCCATAACCTAGTTTCTTCTTGAAATGATTTTAAGTGAATATCAGAAATATTTTATGATCAAATTCTGTTTAATCAAAAGATATTTGATTTTTGCTTGCACCCGATTACAGAGGACTAATCAGAGGTTCAGAGCCGGTCTTATTTTGTAGGCGCCGCTGTAATAATGGGGATTTGTGGAGATGGAGTTTTTTCTCACTTGCAGATCTTGGAAAAAGTTTCCCAAAATCAACATGCGGGAAAAATCTATGTGGTGTTTTAGAATTCCTGGACGCAAACTCGCCAGGTTCTTGTTTCTCCGGGTCCTTTTCCAGATACATGTCACTTTTAGCCAAACCGTACTTTGTATGTGGTGTCAAAGGTATGATGGCTATAATACTGTTTCCGCCTTCGTTTGAGAGCAAGGGTTTCGTCGAGTTGGGCTCCGAAACACTACTAAAACAAGTTTCACTGACATTTAGTCGGATTCCCTGAGATTCTTCAGACGAGACGGAATCAAATATCGAGTCACGTCGTCCACTTTTAATACTGAGGTTGTTCAGTGGTTTTCTTTCATATTGTTGGTCACTGTCAGAATCTTCGAAAACCTCGTCATCACTGTCTGTTTCTACATTACTATACACAGTACTAAGGTCCCTCTTACCCATACCAAAAACTTGTAAATTTCTCCCATTTTCAGATTGTTTGGTATAACGCAGTATTGGGGAATCTTGAATACCATTGTTGAAGTCCTTGTCTTCACGCACACTGACAATTTTCGCACCTTTCATAATAACTATAGAACCGTCACGTCTTATTATTGAACTTCCGGTGCTTGTTTTTGGGACAGCTCGCATCATCTCCGTTAAACTCTTGTGACGTTTGAATTTTTTTCGTTTGTTTTCAAGGAACGCTGAAGAATCCAAACTTTGGATCGAATTCTTTCTTCCATCTTTCCCTTTAACAGAAGATACCAAATTGAGAGATTGGCGGGAGCGATCTAATGATCTGGTTAGTTCAGTTACAGACCTGCTGATAGAACTTCTCCCCAGAACGAAAAATGACAGGCGTCGTAAGGGACTTTCCACTTCTTCTGGAAATGAATCTGAAAGAAAATCAAACGAAGACTCATAACTCATAGTGAGGTAAAATTTTACCCAGTTCTCTCTAGTCTGTTCACCTTGGCTCCAGAGAAGTGGAATAAAATATATATAGAAGGTCACTGATATAAGTAATTTATGAAGTCGGGGTACAAATCGGTTTTCTTGGGTTGAAATTATCACTCATCATTAAGCCACAGAAACGAGCACTGTGAAAAATACAATTAGAACCAGACAACAGTGGTTTCAGATTAACCGTTGCATCCTTGGGGTGTTAATGCAAGGGAGATAGTCAAAATTAAGGCATGGCTTACAGACCGACTTCTTTACTATATTTACAGTATTTAATATCCTAATAATCGGACATTTTAAAACACTGAAATATACAAGCCATTGCCTTGCTCACTGGATTCATAATTTTCATTGAAATATTGCTATCTAAATGTTCACTTTACCCAACTAACTAAGTTCATTCCCTGAGTGAATAGCAGTAATAAACAATAAAAAAAAGTTGAAATGAGCATCAGTACTAATTTACTACCTAAAGCCAACTGGACCAAGCAGAGTCAGTTGGTAAACCAAACTTTCAAAGGCCTATTCCCTTTTCCATAAAATACATTTTTACAGATAAACATCAGTGTTCACTATTCCCTCTTCTCCGTGTAATTGAATGAAAGTAAATATTAGATATTTTATTCTAAAATCCACAATTAAAAATATTAAATAATAAATAAATAAAAGAGTTTCTGAGCATTCAGAGTCTTTGTGGTTAAAATTAGGATTTGAGCAAATACAAAACACAAACAAATTAATCAAACATGAAAGCCATCAAGAACTGTCCTACCATGATGGTTTCACACTTTTCCAATTATCTCTAAATAAAATAACTCAAAAGTAGTTTTGGAGTTCTACAATGTGAATGTCTAGGATGGCTGATGAAAAGTGGTTAGGATTTGAGTTAAATCTCTATCTCTAACTCAGAGTAATTTATTTTTGAGACTTAAATATATAATGTTTGAACTTAAAGAAATCTTAGCAACACTTCCCAAAATGTCATTTTCAAGATTTGCTTTTTAAATCTGTAATTGTCAATTCCTTTGGTTTTTTTTGCAATGAATTGCAGACAAACTTCACTTGTAATTTTCATTCTGGACAGTGCTTAACATAAGTACATAAAGATACATAACCTTAATTCAATATTGTAAAAATCAATCTAAAATATACATAAAAAGCAGAAAATTTATATTATATATTTGCATTACATGTATATTTATAATACTTATTGAGCAAAAATGCGAGACAATAATTTGGACTAGAAACACAAGGCTACAAGACATAGGTCATCAAGAACATCTGTGCATCCAAACCATGGTGAATATAAAGATATATTGTTCATAATAAACCTAGGAGTAATTACTAACTTCATAATAAAGGATAAATAAGGATATTTTTATCCCTCTAAGTTGCACTTAATACTAAGCAATATAAGACGCAGTAAAACATTTTATAATGCAACAGTTAAGAAAAATGTGAATGAGTCAGCAATTTTTAGTTAGAAATGCCATCTAATAAATGTGTTGTAACAGTAGGACTGGGTAAAATGATCGAAATAATCAATTATTATTGTTATAAATGTATAATTTCGATTATCGATTATCAAATTTCATAATCTTAACCCATAAAATTGGGAATTTTGGCATGTTTTTAATTTTAGTATTAACAGGGATTCTCAATTAATTATTTTGATTATTGATCAGTAGTCTGCCATCGATAATTGATCTCAATTTTGTTATCGATACCCAGCCCCATGTAACAGTTATTTCTGTATTGCAGGCGGTATTGTAGTCAAGCATATCCGCCATCTTTGTTCCCACTTTTTGAACTGAAAATGTCTTTAAGATGGGTTTACCTAATTTAAAGTGTCAAATTAAGCAACTGTTTGATTAATTGGTGTTTCTAATGAATTATCATGTATTCTTAATCATATCATTATGTTATTATTGTATGTAATTTGGAATTTGAACGTATGAAAAATGTCCATATTTGGTTATTTTCATTTATGAATTTATGTATATGAATAGAAAGTAGAGGAGTTAAATGACTTAGACATATACCAGTTTGTCTCACATGTCCATTATTAATTCATAATTCGCTAATTAGAAGAGAACTACCAGCAGAATTCCAATGAGTGACCGATCAAGAAAGGTCAGAAAGTCTTTTTTTTGTTTATCCAGACTGTACATACATGGACATTTAATTCTTATCTCTTAATTACATACAATAAGAACATAATGATATGATTAAAGATAGCTTGCCAGGCAAGGAAATATACGCCCACTGGCAGCTTTGATTTTGAATAAAAATATTTGGCAGTACAATAACAATCACCAGTATGAAATATTCAACCTTCAGTCATACACTTCTCTTTTGGGCGATACTGAATATTGAGTATGAATATTTTCGATAGTGTTCATCCTTGTGTGCTAACGAACACTCACATTAATCACCAAGTTTGGTCAAAATTTGTAAAATATTGTGATTTCTAGAGTGTTTACAAGCTAAAAATTGAACACGTTCTCAAGAACAAGGGCAATAACTCAAACTAAATATTTTTCAATTTTTCTGATTTTCAATAGGGTTTATCTTTGGGTGATAACAAACACTCATACCAAGTTTCATCAAAATCCATCAAGAATTGTGCCTTCTACAGTGTTTACGAGCTAAAAATTGAATGCTTTTTCAAGAACAAGAACAATAACTCATACTAAATATTTTTTGATTCTTCTGATTTTCGATAGGATTCATCCTTGGGTGATTACAAACTTTCACACCAAGTTTCGTTAACATCCGTCAAGTATTGTGTCTTCTAAAGTGTTTACGAGCAAAAAAACGCGTTTTCAAGAACAAGGGCAATAACTCATACTATACTTCACAAACTCCGTCAAGATTTGTGTTGTGTAGAGTGTTAGCGAGCAATTGTGGACGGTCACATTAAATTGATATCAAGTCACATTAAATTGATATCAGGAGTTATTAAATGGATATCAGGACTTATTAAATGGATATCTGGGTTTCATTAAATTGTTATCAGGTCACATTAAATGGATATCTGGTCAAATATTATTGATATTATGTCACATTAAATGGATAACTGGACACAAAAAATGGATATCTGATCACATTAAATTGATATCTGGTCACATTAGATTGATATCTGGTCACATTAAATTGATATCTGGTCACATTCAATTGATATCAGGTCACATTAAATGGTTACATATCTGTTTACATAAAGCTAATATCTTGTAACATAAAGCAGATATCTAACTACATAAAGCTGATATCTTGTTAGATAATACAGTGATATGACATCAGGCAGATATCTGGATACATCAAGCTGATATATGGTCAAAACAAGTGGTTTTCTCTTTATATGAAATGGATATCTGTTTACATCAAGTGGATGGTTACATAAAATTGATATCTGGATAAATCAAATAGATATCTTGTTATATCATGTTGATAAGGTTACATCAAACAGATTTCTGGTTACTTCAAGCAGATATGGTTACATAAAACAGATGTATGGTTGCATGAAGCAGATATCTGTTTACATCAAGTGGATGTCTGACTAAATTAAACAGATACCTGGTTACATGATTGGAAAATAAAACGAAGAGCAAGAATTGTCTTGTGTCCTAAGTTATATATAGAATGCTAGTAATACAGTTTCAGTTCTGGAAGTAAAGGTAAAGTGTGTCATTTCATTCCCACAGGTTTTGGTTCATACAGAAAGATAAGGTATCTGTATAGTGTTAGTAATTGCTATGTTAGTATTAAGCAGAAAGCTGGAAGCTGAAGGACATGTGAACACCATCTTATCATTTCCCAGAATCTTGGTAAGTTGAAGCCTGTTTTTTATGATTTTCTGAAATGAGAAGAAAGGAGAAATATTCTAAAAGCATTAAAATGTCTTGTCTTGTGATAGTACCAGATAGATGTTCTACCAAAATGATTATTTATGTTTTTTGTTGTAGGCCTACCATTAATAAACATCACTGCATTCAGATGAACACTTACAGCAAATCTGTTAACACTCAAAGAATTTGATTTATGATTTGTAGCAGTGGGTTATGAAAATCAATGTGATCCTGTTTTCTGCCAATAAAGATGATAGTTTTGACCATATTGTATAGATTAAAGCTTTCTCTACTTCAAATCAGTTTGTATCAACTGTAACATGGTTCAGCCACAAGATACGCACAAATTGATCAAATCCTTTATTTGTTTTAAATTTCCATCTGGGACTATCACTTCAAAAACAGTACATTTCAAAGGTAATAAGTGAACGTTTTGCTCTACTCTACATATAAATGTATGATTTGGTTGATGATATCTTGATAAAATGGAATTGGACAGAGAAAACAGAAAATCTAAAAAGTGTTGCTGATAGTGAACCATTTATATCCCATAAAATACATTTAGTAACATACAGATTAGAGGTAAGAGAGATGTGCACATGCAAAGCAAGCTTCAGATAATAAAACAAGCAATAATATGTTGGATTTTAAGTTAAGTTTTCTGAAGTATCAGAGTAATATGAGAAAAAATAAAAGATACCAATTTGAAAGAGACTATATAAAACAAATAAAAAAAGTCTAGAAGGTTTTAAAATGTAGAGATAAAACATAGATGAGAGAAAACTTAAATCATATGCTTAAGCTATATATCAATACAACATTTAAGCATATAGGTGACTATAGATGAATTTGACTTAAGAAACATATAATAGAACTAAAGGGCTTCATATTATATACTATTAATGACTATATATATAACATATATATGACAATACTAAAGTGATATACCTTATCTGAAATACATTGAAAAGTTGTTCCAGTATTCCACTAAGATTGATATTCCACATTCTGACATTGATAATGTTATATAATATTATATTATAGTATATCAGCTATGTATATATATATATATATATATATATATATCACAATATGATTTCAAACTATACATAGTCAATTATAAAACAATTAATAGGGCTGGGCGATATTGGTTCAAATTGATATCATGATATGAGTTTATATAGCAATGTTTTTTACTGGTGTTTGAAACAAAACGATAGTTATTTTTCTATCCAGAAATTTTAAATGTAACAAAAAACAATAAATATCTCTAAAAACACCAAAGTCTTTAACATCATGAAAAACATCTTGTTTCAAATATTAAGTTACTAGTTAAAATTATTTAGAATTTATCTTGACAAAAACTTGCCAATATATCATGATAACTACCATATATCAAGATATGGTAATATTTCAGATATATCAGGTGATATTACTAATGAATGATATAAATTCCTATACTGGTATATCACCCGGCCCTAATCCAATATTCATGTTTATATAGAATTTGAGAAAAGGGGACAAAAATAAAGGGGGAAGGGATTACAATTACAAATCACTACATGGTTTACACGACACCTATCAATCAAATTACCTGACCAATCAGATTACAGACGTCGATTTCTTCGAGTATACATATAATCTAAATTTAATTTAAAAATAAAAATTTCTGGCATTAAATATTATGTAATGTCTGCATTAATACAGTGATACAGATGGTTTAAAAATTAAACAAATTAAATCAACAACAATAATTATGCCAAAATATAAAGATATCTAGTTGAAAACGGAATTATGAAACATTATAAGAATATGAATAAATCATAAAGATTGCTCATTAAAGTTATATCCTTTCAGCTTATAAAATATATAATTCTAAAAAATCTGAATTTTCACTGAAAAAACAACTAAAAATATCAGCAATGAAAGATATAAATAATCAACCAAAACAAAACTGACATGCAAGTTAGGGTCTATAAAAGATGTTAAAAATAAATAACTGTAGGTCTATATATATATATATAAATAATAATTATTATTGGGAATGGTGGGGTTTTGTCAAAACTGAATAAATGTCTTCTTCATCTTTTTTACTAACAGCATTCTTAAAGGGATTCAAGCTCAATTAGATAAGGCAAGAGAGATGTCATTAATTAGTCAAATTTTCTCAAATCTCGTGATGGATTGGTGCTAATAATAGCTATATGTGATCCCAAAGTACAAAATATCTCTTGTACATCTATCGAGTATCATTTTGAGATAAATATATATGATTTAGAATTGGCAGCAAATATGTAATCATGAGATATTCGAATCATTTTAAAATTCTTCAAACAAAACTAACAAAATTTCACTGGATTCATACTAATGGATGCTAAAGATACAAATATAACTATCTACAGGGTGTTTGGAAATGAGAGCCCCCTCCTCCACAGCCTAAACTAAAATAGATATTGACAAAAACTACGAGTGATTCTGAACTGGTATTA